TTGTTACTACTAGTAAGGCACCTGTTACTACTAGCGTGGCACTTGTTACTAGTAGCATCTTGTTACTACTAGTAAGGCACTTGTTACTAGTAGCGTGGCACTTGTTACTATTTGGGGGGTTAGAAGATGATCCACCCTCTGAGGTGATGTGTTCGACTCTTTTAGGTCGGCGGAAGGGTCCAGTCGCTTCTGCGGCACCTGGATCTGTAGGGAATGATTATCGAATGGTGGTTATTGGAGAGCTACAGAAAGTTCTCCAGGAAGTTCACTTGTGCCGAGATATTTAATCATCGAACTATAGGCTTATCAATCAACCGGGGTTTGTTTCTAGGAACACCCACCGCAGACGCTCAAGCCAAGTCCCGCCATGGAGACCGAAGCGGGGCAGGGTCCCGGGTCCCGGCTTCGGTCAACTGATGAAGTCCGCTGTCGAAGATGTGGGACTTCGATCGTACAACTTTGACGATGCGAGACCCCGCAATGTCAATGGTGTTTCGGGCAACTGACGTGAAGTTTTGGGACTCGTGGTGATTTAATGCGTGGCCGTGTTCTTCCGTGATAGCTGATAGTGCCGTGTAGCTGAAAGCTGATAGTGCCTTAGGGCGTACATGGCGTGGCCATGCTGTGCCTTTCGTGAGCATGATGTGCCTCAGGGCATCCGCTTGTTACCAGATTTTTCCCGTTCCAACGCCTTTCTCTCAGACCGTCGCGGGCGGTTCACCACCCCCTTCACCGGCACCGCGGATCGGACCGTCACTGTGCGGAGTTCGACCGGAGTTCGACTCGTCGGAACCGCGATCGACCGAGGTATGCTGAAGGGGTGGACTTGACCGAGTCGCTTGGCTTCGACCCGCGGTCTGCTCCGCGGTGAACGGCGCGGCGCTGAAACGGCGCTGCTCCGCGGAACCGCGCGTTAGCTCGGGGGTTTGGGGAGAAGACGGTGGGGCGCTACCGCCAAGAGGGTGAAGCCAGAAGAAGATCGCCTCGTTCTGGATCGTTTGGGGCACTCAGGTGATCTGAAACCCAGAATGATAGGGGTTCCACACACGAAGTTTGCTTCAAAAGACACCTCTTCGATCCCAAGGTTTATCAACTTCAACTGCTAAGCAGCATGTCGGGAAGAAATCCGCTGCTTTGCTTTGCTTGGGAACTGAGAGTCAGAGGTTTGCTGCAAAGCTTTCGTTTTCGACGTCCGTCGATTTGTCGTTGAAGCGCCGCAAGTGGGGCCACACTGCGAAGATTTGGCCCGGTAGATGAGGATTTTCCAGATGGTTGAGGCTGTTTTTATCGCTGGGCCTGCTATACCCTCATCATTCCTCAACTCAAAATAGGGCCTGCCAGTCAACCCTCGATGTGAACATGTGGTGCCGCACGTTCTTTTGAATCCATCCAGCCTGCCTGCTGAAAGGAATCCAGCACGACGCCGGAGGACAGTTCTTTTTTCAGATTTCAGCCACAACCAAACATAAGATAATACCAAAATTATCAAAAGACATGCACAGAATGATGAGCAATTCCACCCCCTTACCATCTTTTGTAGACCAATTTCACCCCATCCTTTTTCGGGTCTTCGTTACCCTCCTTTTTTGCATCGTCGGTCGACGAGGCCTTTGCTCGAAAAGGATCCCACGGAAGTGGGAGAAGATCTCCAAAAACGAGGCGCGCCGCAGTGCGACATACGTCCGTTTTCCGAACGGACGCGAGCTGCGAGCTGCTCGGTGGTTCGGCCATCGCGGTCGTAGGTTGGAGGCCGTCGCAACGAACGCTCGGAGCAAAGAGCTACGTACGTAGTACGATCATTCGATCCCAATGACCATCCGCAAAATTCTGTGCTCCGTGGGATTCACATCGACGATCATCGTATGAACATGTATGATTTGTATGAACAGAGCAGAGCACAGCCCGGTAGATGGGCGAGCGCACAGCAGTTGGTTGGGTCGTTGTCGAAGACAATCACCCCTTCACAAGATCGAACACTGCAAGTCTAATGGTTGATCAACATCTTCATGTTGCCCCACTGACATGAATCCATTGCATGGTGTTAATATATGGGTTACTCAGAGGGAGGCTGATTTGATCATCACCCAAATGTTCCCCTTTACTTACACCTAAAAAAGTAAAACAGCATATACCCGTTTCATCCCCTTTGCACCACCCTTTCGGCGGGAACACAGGTGCGGCAGCGCCCGACGAAAACCGTTCTGCTCGAACCGTTCAAGGTACTGCGGTCTATGTGGCGCTGCGGCTGAACTCGGCTCAGGCCGTGCACGGCCGTCGTAGAGCACGAGAGGACGTGCGGCGACACTGAAAGCATTGGAGCACCGTAACTTCAGGTGAAGCTCCAAATGACGGTCCAGATCACACCCTATTTGGCACGGAATCGCACTTCTTTGCACTTCTTATGTGGAAGCGTTGGCCTCCAACCTACTAGCGACGGCCTTGCGCAGGGAACTGTGAACTGACCGACTGGTCGTCTCGACTGTTGTTCTGCAGAAATCGAGCCGACTTTTTATGTCACATCTCAAGTGTTATAGGCTTTTTATGGTATACCACTTTGTCGTTCTGTGATCATCTCGCCAGATCAGTCTCACTTCTCTCCCGGATCTTCCAGGATCTTCCCAGTCTTTCAGTCTTCCCAGAGATCTTCCAATCGGACTGGTCAGACGGACGTCAGACGCAGGCCAACATCAAGTTGAGCAATTGGCTGCAGTGCATCGAACATGCCAGCAAGGTTCTCCTCATCGAGAAGGACCCGTCGCTTGCTGACTGCGTCGCATGGAAGCATTTCTCTCTTTCTCGCTCTCTACATCTATTATATATACATATACACACCGTGATATACATCCCATCACCTGCTTCTCCCATTTTGTGTGTTTAGCAATGCTTTGGCAATGTATTGTTCACCTCAAGCATCCACGACACATGTTTGAGAATGCTACTAATGCAACCAAAAGCGAACTACATTCTTGGAACCTTACAACTGTGTGATGTCGTTAAATGCCAGTGGTGTTTTGTATGTTTTGTGTTTGTACTCTCGAAAGGATTCCAGTCACCTCATGAATGCAAGGTGTCTTGGATGAGCTTTGCATAGGTGGATGGTTATGAGTTATGGGCTTCTTTTTCACACTTTCAAGGAAGAGCTGCTACACACCACAAACAAATGCCAGCGGCTCCACAGCAAAAGGTGCTGCATGAGACACATCTCATAGAGATACCACAAAACCATTGGTGTGTGTCCTATGAGTGTCATGACTCATGACTCATGACCAGATCTTGAAGTGCCACATTCGTTCGGTCGTACCGCAACGATAGTCGTAGCAACAACCAGATCTTTGAAAATCACATCTTCAAAAAGAAACGAATCACACCAAGGAAATCACGATCAGTGATGATCAGTGATCATTCTCACCAACCACTAAATACTATGCATGCATTCACAAACACGGCCAACAGAGCATTAAGAACCAACTGTGCAACTTTTCCGGGATAAAAAGGCTTCAACCAGCCACCTTCAGTTCGTTTTCGCTGACACCTTAGACCTTTCTTCGGATGTCTTAACCTCACGTCTGCTCGACTCTAAAGCGTCACCGGTTCCTCGAGGACAACACCAAGGCGCTCTACCGCCGGGCCTCCGGTGCGCTGCAATTGGACACCGAAGGGCCTGGGAACCCGCACGCGACCGGGACCGGCCGGCAGGGCTGCGTCCGGTCCCGGCACCGCAGACCGACCGCGGGTCTTCGGTGGAGCTGGTGGCGGTTCGGTGCCGTTCGGTGGCCGAGGCGTTTAGAAGAAGCCCGAAGTGATTTGAGTCGGCTGATCCAGTTGGAGCCAGCCAACCGGGAGGCGAGAGACGCAGACGCAGGTCCGCGAAGCCAAAACGAAGCACGATACTAGTGAGCCTCTTCCAACGGATTTTTCAATCTTATAATATATACTTACTAGTCTATAGCTGTATTGCATCGTATTGCAACTTGAGAGCCGCAACCCCTGTGGAATCCCATTCCCCGTGACAAGTGACCCACGGGGTTCGAATGAGCCGAGAGCGACCGAGCGACGGGAAAATTCCACCTCCTTCGCTCGTCGGTTGGGGGTCGGGGGCACCGTGCGCGCGTCATGCGACCCATCATCGTCGTTGGCTTCGTTGGCTAGGGTGGAGCAGATCGCTAGTAGTCGGTTGGAGGCCACCGCCATGATCAACTCCTTCCTCTTCATGTTACTAGTAGCGATGCCCGGAGCGCCCCGTTCGTAGCGTCCGATCGCTCCGTTCGTAGCGATGCCCCTTGCCACTCCCTCATTTGTCACTCCAAGAAAACATGCGACCTACAGACTCCTAGGCCTGGAGGGTTTTCCACTTAGCAGCACAGCTGCCCAGCTCTTCGGCTGCCAATGCCATCGGCTTTCACTGTCCGTTCAGGCGCGAGAGATGCTGGTGAAAGCCAAAGAACGTCTAAAGGACAGACCGAACGAACGGCGTCGAAGCCGACACCGGAACCCACCGCTGGGACCGAAGTCAGAGCATCGTCGGTGACCGACCCGAGGTCGCATCATGACTGCGGCTTGCCCAAGTGACAAGCCGCACAAGATAGGCTTGCAGCTACTAGCAGCTACTAGACTTCAACACTAGTAGCATTAATGCGTATTCGTCATAGGAGCACTTTGTTGATTCTTGTGAACACAGCATGCAAGGTTCTGACTCTTTTGCAGGCAAAGCACATGTTTAGACCAACTGCTCCAGTCGTTCCAGAGCTTCATGGTTGTTTTGAGATGTTTTGAGGACATCTATCCAGCAATCTGGAATTAAAGTTTTCTCAATTTGCTTCCAAATAGGTCAGAGCTATTTGCACGTGTTCTTAACTGAAGAAAGCTGGAGGACCTCAGACAACAAGAGAAAGAAAGGCCCGGGAGTATATCAATGTGAGGACTTCTAAGTGGAAGGAATTGAACCCAGACTTGATCAGGATTGAGATTTCATTCCCTGTGAGGTAAGAAAACTACGATTTCTCCTTGGCCGCGACCTCTCGCACAGCTTGCCCGAAAAGAGAATAACCCAGACACTCCATATATTATGCCGTATTTGCCTACATTGGGGTGGTTTGGGGATCAATGGAGGCATACATTATCAGAGTATATTCCATACATGGAGTGTTTGGGTAATAGAGAGCACCCAAAATTAACAGCAACCAACAGGATCGAATATCCATATTTTCCCAAGACCATTCAACCTTCTCAACCTGATGCTTGCTCCTTCAACCACTTGAAATCCTTTTCACCCGAGAGAGCGCGGACACGCCTCAGCTGCTATGAACTTCACGTCCAAAGGTGTCGCCCAAAGACTTCCAACGCCAGGCTGAGTGCTGCCATGAAAGGCGGCCTCTACCAGGAGCAGCACAAGAAGCCCCTTGGGACTGAGCAAAGCGAACAAAAGGAGCAAGGCACCTTACTACTAGTAACAAGGGACGCTACGCAGGTAGCTCCTGGCACTGCTACGATCGTAGCAAGGGACGCTACGAACGTCACAAGGGCATCGCGACTCTTTCTGTCAGCGCCGGTCTGTTCGCGATCCCAACCTCGGGCGATCGATCGGGTCCCAAGATCTGTGGAAAAACGGGTCGATTAGAGGGACCGGCGTGATTTCCAACCCCAGGTGAACAACCAGTGGGAGACCATCGACCCCCCCTCGATCCGAATTCGACCCATCGACCCCTAATCGCCTCTTGCGCAACACCAGAAACTCTTGGCCGCTGCCACGGCGCGGCAGCGCGGTGGCCACGAGGCTTGGGAAACTACAAGCTGCCTATGAAGAGGAGGCCCAGTACAGATCTTGGGCACTCATGTCCTAAAGTTCCTACTCAGTCTTGCTGGAGTTAAGAGAATTGTGCGAGAGGCCTTTTTATGCCTTTGTTCATTCATCACCCATGATTAGGTGCCACCCAAGTTCAAGAAATGGAATGGTTCCAATGGTTGAAACGGATGTACCAGAGCCATCCAGAACACTCTCACAACAAAGGCCCCCAGCATCGAAGGATCTGCAGGTGCACCGCGACAGCCAACGTTTTCACCAAACTGGTCCCTCCGAAACGGGTGAACGCCGTGGCCTGCTCCGCCCTGCCTCGTGACTTAAGTAGGATAGCTCACGCTTCCTTCTTCAGAAGCGCCTATGATTTGGTTCCTAGATTTTTAGGGAAACTTAACAGATGCACTGGGTCTTCCCCAAAGAAGCTTCACCCCAAGTGAAGCCGTTCCGACAATGGCTCAAGATCCACTGCTCAGACCGTCTTTCCTGCCCGTTTTGGCAGGTGAAACGTCTCAAAGAGAAAGGCGAGGCCGAAATCTCCTTCGAGGATCGCGTGTCTTCGTCGGCGGGCAACCGGGAACTGAAGGGCCCCCCCGTGTTACCAAGCGCTGAGAAGCTACAAACGTAACAAAGGGCATCGCTTCTAGTAACAAGGACGCCATTAGTGGCGCCTGGCCTTACTACTAGGAACAAGGGGCGCTACTAGTAAGAAGAAGCTACTAGGGGCTCCTGGCATCGCTACTAGGAGTGATCGGACGCTACGAACGGGGCTCCTGGCCGTACTACGAACGGAGCATCCTTACTACTATAGGAACAAGAAGCTACTAGGAACAAGTGCATCGCTTCTAGTAACAAGTGCCTTACTAGTAGTAACAAGGACGCTAGTAGTAACAAGAAGCTACGAACGGTTGGAGTCCTCCCGGCACGCGGACGAAGCGAAGCGACGGTCCTCCGAACGGTGGGTCGACGCGCGTGGACGCGCGGCGCGAGGACTTTGCTAAGAAGGCGAAGGAGAAGGAGGAAGAATTAGAAAAGAAGCAGAAGGACCCGACCAGACTCTGAGACCTGTTTTGTTTTGGATGAGACTAGGGCAGCACAAGTGCAGATACCAAGCCATTCAAACGCCTCACATTCAAGTATTTCACCTTTGGTTTGGACATAGTGAACAAACCAACCCACCTTTCTTCTGTCGAAAAGAGGACACTACTATATATTCTATCTCCCAGAGAAGAGAGTTTCAAACCGGTTCAAACTGCAAGCGTAGTCTTTGAAGAACAGGTACCTTCATCTAGCGCTGCCAGCCTGCCAGAAGCTGTGAAATTTTGCTTCCGGGTGAACAGGAGGAAGCCCAAAAGCGGCGTGAAGAGGAGCAACAGAAGGAGGAAGCCAGGCCTTCGTGATGCCGGCGCCTGTGACATGGTGCGAAGGATTGTGGGTCGATTCCCAGAACAAAAAAAGACTGAGAATCAGGCTGTGAGCCATTTTCAATACGACTCACTTGATTAGATGCTGTTGCAGCCATGCCAGACCACGTGCACTGTCCACTCCTTTGAGGGTTTGATTCAATGATCTTGAATGTGTTCCCAGTGTTCCCTCTTTCCTTCCTAATAATAGCGATGACCTCCAACCTACTAGACCTCCAACCTAAGAGCGATGGCCTCCAACCTACCCTTTTCCTTCGTTCCCCCTTGTTCTCCGAGTTTCTCATCCTTCTTTCTGCGACCAGGCAGCTGGAAGAGGTGAACCAACGCCGCAGTGGCGAAAACCTTCCGCCCCTGTCCTTGGAGGCGGGTCCGTCGGGTCACCAGTGGAGCTGGTTGTCCGGTGGCCGATGAACGGCGAATCGACTTCTTCAGCTTCACGAGCGTTTTTTCGGGAGGTGCTGGTAGGGAGGGAAGGAGGGGGTTCTGCGCCTGGTCTTTCGATGTCTTTCTTGAAGCAACCTATTTTTCCACAACACTAAGCATACTCTTCGTCCGTCTTTGGTGTTCTCACCGTCCGAAGAAGTCTCAAAACGTATGTCTCGTCATGACCCCAAAACACTCTCAGGCTCTCTCAAGTGAACCAACAATTCAGCTGACACTTCCTTATTGGTTGGTCCTGTTTGGTATTCTCGTGTATTCTCCTTTTCTCCCAATGTGAGTCCAAACTGTGTGGCTTCCGGCATTGGCATGCTATGGCATGCTTCAACAATCTGTTGATCATGCCCCGACCTTTCGCAGCTCATTCATCAAGCTAACTCGTGTGCCTGTGTGCCTGCTTCCTGCCTTCCTGCCTTCCTTCGCAGACCTTCCGAACAGGAGTGGCGCGCCGAGATGAAGGCCTCCGCCGAGAAGAAGCGCCGGGAAGAGGCCGATTTCCAAGATCGGAGGAACCGCGGAGCCAAGCAGTTTGGGATTTGCGGATCTTTGGTGTGTTTTTTTCTTCTTTAGTGGCATGTATGACTGGGCGCAGTATCTTCTTGTTAGTGATGTTCAAGAGTGATAAGCAACTGATTTTGCTGAACTTTTGGCCAATAAGTGCTTCGATTTCCTCCATCCTACTCAACGACTTACTTTTTCCAAACACGTCGCTCGGGACATGACACAATGTCGGTGCATCTCGTGCATCTCATGTCGGCCACACGCGTAATTTCGCATCATCCAGTTTCTGGGTCAACTGCCTGCAGGTCGTGAAAATGGACGAGGCCGAGTTGGATGAAGAGGAGTGGATGAGACACATGGGCCGTGTCACACAGCAGTTGAGGCGGCTCATTCTTGATGGAAGCTGGATCAAATACCCATAGGTGCGGAATACATGCAACGGTTTGAGACAGACCCACAGTTTGCATACGAGTGTTTTTGCAGAATCCTGTTCGGACCAGAAGCTTTCATTGGACAAAGTTTAACTTCATCGCCTGAGATTCTTTTAGCAAGAAACTACAGCATAATTCCTTCTTGAGTGAGCATATTTCCCAACCATTGTCATACTTGTCAGTCTAAGACTCTCAAGACTGTTCCTTGAAATGATTGGATGCCAGAGAAGTTGGAAGCATCAAAGTTGCCAGGAAGTCGTCTCCCAACATTAGAAGCGGTACCATGGACGTCGATTTTTTGGTTTCACCCATTTACTGGTCCTAAGGACGGACGTACGGCTACGGACGCACCGAGCCCGAGTCCTTACTCGCGAGGACAAGAAGCTGCTGAAAGAGACCAAGCCCGGGGGCCTGAGAGTCGCGCACCAGAGCGTTGTGGTCTCTGAAGCGCACACTACCCGCTGGCCTGGGCCAGCGCGCTCTGGTGAGCGCATGGTTCTTTACAGCCAGCGGCGCTGGTGGGTGGCCTGCGGCGCTGGTGTTTGGATCAACTATGTGATCAGATCAACATAGAACCCAGACATGACACCCTTGTTGGATAGGAAAGACCATTCTGGATAGTGCACCGGTCTGCCGGTGGTGTGGCCTGCACGTTGGTCGTGTTTCCTGGCCATTGGACTTCGAGGACAGGTGTTTTTGTTCAACGGTTTTTCGTATTTATGATGCTTTTAGTTTAGTGTTTAGGCAGAACTAGTTGCCTGTTGCTTCGCAGTGAGCCTGTTCACCACTTGGGAAGCGGCCCAGCAGCTCGCACGTCGACGTGAGTTTCGAGTTTTTCCCCGGTTCCGCGGTTCCGCGTCGTTCGGAAGCGGACGCGGCACGAGTTAGGAGTTGTACTCCAATGATGGAACTGTAGCTAACGATGGAACTCATGGTCAGGAACTCTCTTGCTCGGACATTCACACCTCCCCGCCCTAAAAATTGGAGGCGCAAAAAAGACAAAGGAGGTGTTTTTCTTCATTCGTATTCACATCAGCTCCCCACCCAAATTGTTGACCTTCGCCTGCCCGTTGTTTCAGCGCTTTTCCCTTAGACCCGTCTCAGGGAGAAAGGCTACTACCACGGCCGCCTGGGTACAGTTGGGGCCTCGAACAGAACGGGCAGAACTCGGGATTTGACGGACATGTTCTTGTGCAGTTGAACCATTTACATGCCACGCAAGAGGACTGGAATCTGGGTGTTGCTTGGGTTATGTGTATTTTCCCTAGCTGGGTGACTCTTCTTCATCAGTCTAGAGAATGCCTATGTTCCCCGGTTCCTCAAGCCAATTTCGAAACGCCAAGCAGAACCATCCTACTGGCTAAATTACATATGAAAGGGACAGGGAGTGAGGTAGTGTACTTGCACTTGAGGTATAGATCTGAAAAAGCCTGGCATCTGAAAAGACGTGCATGTGATTTTTCAACAGCTCAATCAGTCGTTTGCGAGAGGTGAAGGTGTTGGGCAGAACTGACCTGGGCATCGAACGACGAGCTGGCTCATGGTGGCTCAATGAAACCCTATCTCCTCATCTACCCCATGTTCTACCCCATGTCAACCGACACCCAGTGAGAGAGGCTAGGTAGATTGGCCTCGGCCAGTTTGAGAGTTCTGCGAACCAATTCTGCGCACTACTTGACCCAACTTGGGAAAACGAAGGATTTGCCGCCTCTTTGTACCAGCTATAGTGACTGACTATATAGTGACTAGAGTGCCAAGCTCCCAAGCTGATCTCTGGCTGTGCCGTGACTCGATCGCTTCTTCGCGCTGAGGTCTTGTCGGACGCTGCGCCCAAACCGCAATTGGCCTGGCACCCGTGGTGGAAGTTTGGCATTGGCATTGGCTTTTTTGCAGTAAATCATGGCTTCATGCCAAGTGATATCAAGTATCAAAGTGATGTTCTTGAGCCATGTAAAGGATCAAGTTTTTTAAAGACCAATATCTTAAGGAATCCATCTCCTCTCTGTTCGGTGATTCCGCCCTCTTCGCCTCAAACATCGGAGCGACGACAACTCCAGCTCTCCCGCTCCAGGTCACCGAGACTGAGAAGGAAGACTCCCCAAAGGTTGGCAGCCAGTGGAACCAGGCCTGGGTTTTTGGGGGCTGGATGGGGCTGGCAGATTGTGGAATGTGGAGAAATCGGGTAGGTTGTGCAATGGAGTGCAAGAAACAGTGTGTCGATTCCAGATTTCTGACCATTTGACCATTTGACCATTTTTCTTGGATCCTTTTTTTTCAGTTTTTTGAGGATATTTGGGATTTGTGGGGTGTTCAAGTCATCGAGTGCTTTGGAATGACTGAAGTTGATTGCACACTTTATCATGAAATAAGGACTTCAATGCCAATGGTATCCATGCAGCGATCCCCCTCGATGTGATCGTGTTGGTGTTACCTTTCATCAACGGAGTTGGCATGTCTGGATGTCATCGGACCTCCGCTCCGGACCGGTGGACCCACCGGGTCGGCCAGGCTGGCACCTGGGAGGAGAAGGATGCCTCGCTGGGCGCCTGAGAGGGGGGGAAGCTAAGCTTTGGGCCCCGAAGCAGAGGGCTTCAGATTGGATCTTGATCCTTTTGATCGTTTTAAGGAGAAGTTGCTGATTGCTGATGCTATTTTTGCATGTTGGGATCCGCCCACCTGTCCTATGTTTACTGAAGAAGCTTGTGGAGATACACAGGTACTGTCCTTTCTTTTGAGTGTCTTTGCCTGTTGGAAGCTACTAGGTTGGAGACCATCGCTACTAGGGTGGAGGCCACCGCCATGATCAACTCGTTCTCTTCCTTTCTCAACTCATCTCTTCTTGTTACGAACGAAGCGATGCCCTTGTGACGTTCGTAGCGAACCTTCGCTCCGTTCGTGTTTTACGGCCTGGAGCGCCCCGTTCGCCCTCGTAGCGTCCGATCGCTCCGGACTCCTTCGAGTCGCGATGCCAGTTTCGCCGCGGAACTCGTAGCGACCCTTTGTTCCTCTTCATCTCATCTCTTCCTCTCTTTCGATCTCAGGTCTTGGGCTCAGGAGCGGCTCAGTGCCTGGTGCGGACGCCGAGCGGTTCGGATCGTGGAACGGGGCGGTGTCTTGGGGGCGTTTTGAAACGGTTTGGGTGTCCTTTCGTAGGTGGGTGAGTTGGGCGAGTGGCTAGATGTACGCCACTGATCTGCGTGACTAGTTGCGTGTTGACATGATCTTGGTTTTGCCACGGGACCCTACCTTTGGAAGAAGTGGAATCCCAGAGGGGCCAGGATGGAGAGGGACATAGGGACTGTTCAGTTCACATGGAGGTCAGATGGGTGATTCCACCGCAGTAAACGTCTTACATTAAATGTTGTTTTCCATTGCAAGATGTGGACCGCCCGCACAAATACCCAACCAACATGTTTCCTCTACCAGGGGTGTACTGCCCTACACATAGCATCACATAGCTACAAAATCTATCAAGATCTCCTGTCAGGACATCCAAACAGGATTCTCCAGGTATGTTCCTCTACAAAACCATCGTTTGTTTTTTTGTCGTATCTTTTAGACTTTAGACCGGCAATTGCTCGCAGGTTGAGCGATGCCTGCGTCAGTGGCTCCAATGCCCCTTGGCTTCATCCCAGCCCACTGGGGTGTTCAGTGACCGGACGGATGGCTACTCTCCTCAAATGTTTTGTGACACCATGGAATCATGACTAGCCTGGTGTCACAGAAATGGTTTGGAGTCAAACATTTTACCAAACCGCGGAGGAGTTCTAAGCGAGCGCCCAACAGGAATTCGGTGCATTCTTCGATTCAAGATCGTGCGTAGAAAAGGAGGATAAGGAGGCATCGATCACACCCAATGAATATTATAACTCTATCAGGAGCCTCCAAGAAGCTTTGGGACCCTAATGTTCAGGTGGTTTCATGGAGACATTTGTTGGAGGGTGCTGGTCTATGAAGAATCAATCCACAATCATCCATTTACAAAGTTCCGATTGCCTTTGCGCCCCAGGACTGTCCATCCGGGTCGCACGCGCGAAATCCCCTTCACTGGTGTCGCGCCCTCGCTCTCGTTCTCTTCCATCGCCCGCGACCTCGCCCGCGACCTCGCCATCGCCCCATTCGACGCGACAGGTGACCTTGCCGGCGGGCAGTGGCGAGGTCACGGCGAAGATCACCAAGGTCAAATCCATCAAGGGCGAGGTGCCCTTCGAAACGACCCGTTGCGGGGAAGTTCGGCCGGTTCGGCCCAAGGGCTGCAAGGGCCGCTCTTTGGAACTCTGCGTGATGTGGATGACGGTGGGGTGGGTTGACTCTGCCTTCATCGTTAGCTTTTGAAAGATCAGATCCAGGATCCAAACCGGATCATCTACCGAGTCTTCCTTTGCCTAAAGAATATCCTGTCCTTTGTCCAACCCCTGATGTTCAGTTTTGTATACGGGAATCGGAACATGTCTCCTGGCATCAACCAAGATTCTGAAGGATAGAACTCGCTTTGAGCTCATTGTCTTGCAAACTGTCTGATTTTCCCACTGTGAAGGCCCACATCGTCTATGTGCGCAAGCAGCCGCGTCATGGTCTGCGGCTCAACGGGTGTGCTGTCAGCATTCCACTCAAATGAAACACGAAGAACTCCATGTTCCTGCACTTCACAGGTTCTTATTCTGTGAATGTTGTCATGTTTTTCTACTGGGCTGTCTTATAGAGAAATAGAGAAGACGAATCAAATCAAACCAAGACTTGAAGAAATCGCTTAAATTCTTCATATAAAGCCCTATATTGAGCTTCTGCAGTGACCCATATAATAGATATATTTGAGTCATGTGGGCTTCACTGTCGAATCACGGGTCCACATCGAATGAAATTCCCCCGGACTCGCAGTGCAGAAAACACTTACCTCCATCGAATGTCTTGTAGGGTGTCTTCACCATCCCTCGAAGGTTCAGCGTTGGAAAGCTGTTGGAAGGTCCTTCCTCAGTTCAGTTCCATTCGAACGTTCCATTCGAAGCGCCTTTTTGCTGCGCGAACTTGCCTCTATTCAGGAACACGAAGCTACTAGGGGCTCCTGGCATCGCTACTAGGAGCAAGGACGCTACTAGGGGCTCTTGGCCTTACTAGAACGCTACGAACGGAGCTCCTATTATCCTCACCAAACATCCCCCACCAACCCCCGACGTTTTTGGGCGCCACTAACTGGTTGGGAGGGGACAGATGGGGAAAAAGGGGGAGCACGGGTTGCGTGTGCTGAACGAGGCTTTCACTATGAAGCTGAATTGAGCTTCTCAATGAACCTCGGTGAGGACAAGTTCAGTGGAGCACTGGTCTCAGATGAGTACTGGTCGGATGGGAAGACAAGTTGGACGGACACGAAGCCGACAAAATGGCAGCTTGGGGATTCCGGATATGTTTCAATCATCCATCATCCCCCCAACAGATAAAAAGTCAGACATGCCACATGAAGCATGTGCTTTTGTTTCTTCTATGGTGAAGCATGTACTTTTGTCAACGAGTTGGAACCCGAAACCTCTTACACGCTTCGTCTTGGCCATAACGACTCCGTAGCTTCGGGTCTTGCTACGTTCGTAGCGATGCACCTGTTCCTAACGACCTCAGACGCTGTCCCTGCCGGAGATCATGGATGCCATGGCCCCCGCGGAGCCCGGGCGCCCGAGCATTTGACAGCGGCGGCGGCGGAGAGCGAGCGAGCTGATGAGTAGTTGAAGAGGAACAGAATGGAACAGAACATGTGTGTGTATATTTTTTAAGGGGGGTGTTTTTTACTTGTTTTGACATGTGATCGCTTGAACATGTGATCCATACGTGTTTCCTTTGTTCGTCCTGATGATCCTGGAGAATCCAGGAGAGGCACGCGTTCGGACCAACGTGTGGCAAAAGACTTATTTTGGGAGCTCCATGCTTGGATGCGTTCGTTTACGCTACTGGTGACTTCTGGGGCAGGAGTCTAAAAGCCCGTCCTCGGAATTGAAGACTTGTTGATTTCGTTCATTGATTTGGTTCGATCATGTGTTGGACAAAGCTGGTTGAACCAGTCTTGTCTTCGCGGTCGTGGCCCGTGCTTGCATAGGGTATCCTTTTGTGAAGCTCAACCACTGGAATATGATACCTCCGGAAATCATCACACTCTGTGACTGATGCACCCAGAAGAGAAATATTTAGGACAGACAGGAGATGTTTGGTCAACACCACCTTATCGTGCCCAGCCCACAATTCCCCGCAGTCGAGAAGAAAAGGACGAGACTCTGAGGCGTTTGTCACCTCCAATTCCCCAGCCATCGAAAGCCAATAGATGTTTTTATTGGATGGAGGTGTTTTTTCACGTTCCAGCTTCTGTCACGTTCCAGCTCAGGCTGCGCGTGGATGCCAGATGGAAGGGCTCAGGTGGCCTGAGTTCGCTTCGGCGAATTGCATGATATGGCTGTCCAGAGGCAGAGGATCGAACCCACACTGAAAATCCACAGACTGTCAATTCCCTTCACACCTCTGGGTAGCTTTTGCTCTTGAGCGGCCAAGGGTTCCGAGCATGCGGCTATCCCTAGA